AAAAAAAAAAAAAAAAAAAAAAAAAAACAATTAATTAATTGCTGAAATAGATTGTTTGTTTAGTAATCAATACAACGTACCTTTAGAGCAATTGAAGCGAAAAAAAATTACTTACTTTTAATTTTTCGGTGAAATCCCCTTCAACGTATGCTCATTCGCGTTACTTTTAATATGCCTTGGTACAATGATCTATATTATTATTATTATTTTCATAATTAAATTTGCAGACGAAAATATAATTAAAGTTAAATTTCCATGCTCAAATTGATGTTAAATATAATAATAAGCAAAAAAAAAAAAAAGAAGAAAAAACATTGCTCCTATCTTAAAAACCAAAGTGAAGAGACAGAGAAACTAGATTGTGTAAATAATGACGGTTTTAGCGATAGTTTAGCGTTTGACCGAAAAAGTTTTATTATTTAAAGGATGAATTGCAAGAAGAAGAAAAAATAAATAAATAAATAAACAAAAAGAAAGAAAGAAAACAAAAAAACTTTCCGTTTCTATTTATATGAATTTGTTTCACATGTTTTTCTCCCGTTTATTCATCATAAGCTCTATCTCTCTTAATCTTTGATATATTTAAACATATTTCTAATATAATCGCTTATATTTTAGAAACATGCATGATTATGCATTTATATGATAAATAATCAAATCATATTGGCTCTATGAATTCCAATACGTCTTTGACGTATTATATTAGAACGTAAATTTAATCTCTAAATTGTGGCTTTGTGAATTTTTTTTATCTTTCTCTATCCAATGCCATAATAATGCAGTGTATTATAATTTTTTAAATCTTTTAAGGTTTTAATAATTACACATTTTTATTCTAATAATTTACGAACTATAGCCTCTTAACAATCAAAAATATATAATATTTATACTTATATGAGTTATTAATTTTATTTTACATTATACTTTTTAATAATATTATTAGTAAACATAAAATGGATATAAAGATTTTTTTTTTCAATATTTAGAGGGAACATTAACAAATATCATAATGTAATGATTGATGTCTTTCAATGTTGAAATATTAATTTTCTTATTTTACCTACATTTGCGTGTGCAATAACGGGACGCGAGACAACGCATTGTCACCTCTTCAATGCTTTTGAAATATTTAGTTTTATCAATTTTTAGATAAATTGAATGTTTAATATATCTTATAATGATATCTTTAACTCGACCTTTAATAATAATATTAATTCATATGCGAGGAATAATTTGATTTACTTCATTATTCTGATACATAAAGCATTGATAATTATTAATTATTTATGATTAATGATTCTGTAAGTAGTTAAACCATGGCATTAAACTAATTTACTATTTAGTATTATTAAAGTAAGAATTTGATTCTTCAGAAGTTTTACACTATCTGGTAAAATCGAAACTATTAAAAAAACCTTTCATTAATAGTCAATATATAAAAAGTGGCTCAATTTATTTATGTGAAAACATTATTATTAATGAATGTTTAAATAATTATTTTCAGTAATGTTCTTAAATTTTTAAACAATCATATATTAATACAATGACTCGTATTTAATTTCTTATTCTATTGAAAAACTGACTAAATTGGTTAGTGTACTATGCATTACCGTACTTATAAAAAAAAAAATCTTATATACATCTAATATATTACAATTTCGATAAAATTTGATTTATATGCAAAAATTAAGATTTAATAAAAATTTGCAGCTTTTGTAAAATTACGTAATACACGTATATACGTGTTTGTGTGTGCGTTGGCACATGCATTTGCATATTAGCAATTAAACAAATGTGTGAAGTATTTATAATTGAGTAATTGTTTATATAGTATGAAACTAAATGAATTACACATAAATATACAAAACTGTGTAAATGTATACGTATTTTAGATAAGTAATTTTATAAAATGAATGTACGTTTTCAATATGAATATTTAATTTTACGGGGTATGTGTAGTTAATGCAATATCTTGAAAATTGGGTGGGCAATGTTTTTAAATCAAATCTTTACTTTTGTTTTTTTATCAAACATAAAATGTGCATTTTTGTCTTATTAATATCGACTATATTTATTGTTTCACGTTTAATTTTCTGTACATATTTTGTATTTGCATACATATTTACATAGAATAAGATATTTTTAATTTATATTAAAATAAATATGCTAAAACAGAATTATTTGAACTTAGTTTCATGAATGCTGTACTTATAAATGTAATCAATTAAAGTTTGTAAATATGCGTATATTAATTGAGGGGCCAAAAAAAACAAAAAAAAAAAAGTCTCCATATTTATTAAAAAAAAAAAATACTTGTAGGAATTGGAGGGTAACGACTCTTTCATACTTTAAAAATTCAGATTTTCAAAGAAATTAATCAATTTGAACGAGTTTCAAAATAAATACAAAATATTATTAAATCGAGGATGAATTATTCCACTATTAGACGTCTCTTGTTTCTGTATTTGTTGAATTAAATTTTTATGTAAAGTTAAAAATAATATCCTGCTAATAGTCGATTAATATTTTATTTGTATTATAAATTCCAAAGTATTGTTAATTTCTTTAATTCGCATATTATTGGAATTATTACATACTTATGAAATTTTGAATTACATAACGTTCAATGCAGGAAATTAATAAATAATTTAACAGAATGCGTGCCTTTATCTCTTAGTCATAATTTCAATAATAACAGTTGCTATAGTTTATTTTTATTATCGACGTATATTATTACGTAATCTTAAATTCCATTTCAAAATGATGTATATTATGTTAAACAAAAGGCAAACCAAACGATCGACAACATTAATCATTAATATAATTCGTTATTAATACTTTTATTATATAAATATTTTATTATTTTCCAATGTTTATTATTTCTGAAAGTTTTGTGTTAAACAATCTAATCACAAATGGGATTTTTATTTAAAACGCGAACTTTTGTTACCAGACATAGTAAAAAAAAAAAAAAAAATTTTACATGATTATTGAAATAATTTGATTAAAAGCGCACAGTGAACCTTAGAAGGAAAAAAAAAACATATTCGTTTACATAATATACAAGAAACTAAGCTGCAGCGATTTTTTCTACATCCTTTTTTCACTCGCACTCCTTTTTCATCGCTAAATCATTAATATTAATACAAATATCGACTGGTTTATTTATTGCACTATGCATAATTAGTTAAACAGTAAGATTAAAAGTACTTTAGTGCATAATTAATGGGAAACTTGTACAAAAGACTGGCTATATCCAAGATCCGAAATGATCACTAAATCGTAATATTATTATTTATATCGATAAAATAGTTATTAATGTAATAATAAAATGCAAGATTTTATTATTTATACTATTATTAGCTATACTGAAACCTACTAAATATCAATAAAAAGTTAAGTTAAATTAATATCTATCTACATTATGCGATTCAAAATTTAATGCAAATTTTTATTTAATTTAAAGAAACTTAAACTTTTTTTTATACGAGGATAAAAGTTTTTATCAATCACCTTCGCTTAAAATGTATCATATTTCATTAAAAGTACTAAGATTCGTCAGCTGATAAATATGGTTCTGATTCTCTTATTTTATCTAAATAAAGTAATCTTAATTTTAAATGTAATTTAAAATGAAACTATGTATATACTAATTATAAATGTTCATATGAATTTTTGGGTCGAAGAAGTAAATTATGATTATTGTTTATTGATATTATGGCTTGTTTTATCGTTTAGTGAACATTGTACTAATATAAAAATTCATAAAAATTTATTAATCCACTTAGTCTATAACAATGCTTCAGAAAATTCGTAAAATTATAATTATTAACAAGCATTTGCACTATATTATACTTATTTTCATCCTATTATAATATACTAATTTTTGTATTAATTTAATATTAATGAAAGATTTTTAATGAATTTTTCGACATATAGTGAATAAAAATTAGATATACAAAAATTTATTCATACTTAATGTGTATTTTAGTGTGTATACACAAGGATAAATGAAATAATATTCTAAAGTTTTTAAATTAATAATTTTATAATTTCAGTCCTCCACCAAAAAAGGCCGGACGCTATGATTTTTCTCGCGGTAATCATTATGTCAGCGACGATTACAGCGATGATGACGAAGTACAGCAGCGCTCCAAGTGATTTTTGAGCTACCTCGACTTGTCTTTCAAATTTTCTAAACTTCGACCAAACATATGCTGTCTTATTCTCAATTTTATTTAATAAAATCGTAGAATTGGTAGCACCGCTAGATAAGAGGTCGAAATAATTATCATTGGCTAATTAATGCTCGATTAAAAGTGTTTCAAACGTTACTTCGAAATTTAAGAAAAATGATAATTTAGAGAGAACAAACTATCATGATTTTTCTAAACGTGATAGATTACCATGCGAATGATAAATAAAATCAAATAGATTTCAAATATTTCGGCTTCCAGTGTTGAAATCTAGAAAATTATTAACGATAATAAGGCGATGCTGCGCTGCACATTTTACCAGTACATTGAGAGAGAGAGATAGATAGATAGAGAGAGAGAGAGAGAGAGAGAGAATATCGTTTGGATAGATCAATTGGTAATGAATATTTTGATTATGATGACAAATAATCTTAGCAATTGATAAATTTCATTTAATTAAAAAGATTCCTTCACTCTCTCTCTCTCTCTCTCTCTCTCTCTCTCTCTCTCTATCTCTCTCTCTCAATGTATCTTAACGTATCGTAGGGATCTTATGCTTTGTTAATTTTTAAGAGTATAGAAAAAAAAAATTTATAAATTTCTACAGATTTTAATTATTTGTAAAGTAAGTAAAGTATTTCGTATGCTAGAAGTGCCAAACTTGTTCATCCAATGGACGTTCCTTCTAATATATGACAATTTGTGAGCTAACTGAAAATGTTGCTTATAGAAATTCTGAAATACTTTTTACTAAGAGCTTTTAAGCGACCATTCAATTTGAATGCTAAAATAAATATTGAATACTCTTGATAATTTTCGCTTTTTAATGAATCCTAAATGTTTTTACTTCTAATATATTTTCCAATAAGTAAGTGTTAAATATTTATTAACTCTAAGAACTTGAGATAGGCGTAAACCTAAACCTAATTATTATTCTATAACTTGAATTCTTGTAAAAATGATTATTATTAGTAATATTTGAATGCCCAATGTGGTTATTCAAATTTTCATTATTAAATTATTTATTATTTTTTTTTACGCAACTAAAGATCTATCATTTTTATAATTTAACTTATTTGACAGTTACATTATCTTTAACAATTTTTTAATCATTATAATGCAGATGTATTCGTTATAAACAATCTTGTCGATTAATTTGTTGTTGAATCGGTCGGAATACCTTGCTTGTATAGATAGAAAAATCTCATTAAACTTAATTTAACTAAACACCAATAATTCTTTATCGCATAAGTAACAATAGAACACGTTTCTTGTAGTCTTAAGTACGTGTATTAAACTTTTTATGTTTCTGTTGTATATTAATAATGCTAGTACGAGACTTTGTTCTTTTCAAATTATATTCTAATAATAATGATAACAAGAATTAATAATAATAATAGTAATAATAATAACGACGACGACGACGACGACGACGACGACGACAACGACAACGACAACGACAACAATAATATATTCCAATATTTGGTTTTATCATTAAGTTAAAAATACAATAAATATATTTTTATTTTATTTTCATTTGAATATTTATGTATACACAGTAAAGAAATATTATTCAGTTATTAGCAATAATCTGATGAGATTTTACTTGCACGTGTTTTGTCTGTATCAACGATTAGAAAAGTAAAGAATTAATGCTTAATTTAAGTTTTCCAACTGTTTATGAAAATGAGTTATGATAATTGTCCCAATTAACATTGCCATGGATTAAGAATTTGATTATATCGACGTCAGATGTGTAAGATCAAGTCGACTAATGATATACCAATGTCCTTAATAATGATAGATTAGAGATTTAATTTATAATGTTTGTCTATCAATAGCAATGGATAGATCTTTTAATTTTTGTTGTCGTTGTCATTCGAACTAATTATAATAGTCTTAATTAAATTCTGATACAAGTACAATTTTAAACCTGCCTACACCTGTCTATAATATAATTCTTTGTAGTAAATATTTTGAACATTATTTTGCAAATTGATTAATTGAAATAGCACTTTGAAGGTATTTTTGCTGTTGACTAATCTTTTCATCGACTATCGACTATCACTATCCCCTATTTTTTACTTTATGACTTTCCAAATCCTCTAACAACTTAATTTTACTTTTAAATTATCTTGGCTTACCATTAATTTTCACATAAAAACGAGAAAAAGCAAAAAGAGGCAAATTTAAAAAAAACTCGAATATCGAGATCCGTATGACGAATTTTTATTGCTAACCAGAGAAATTAATCTTTCAGCGCATTCACTACTTTCTTATCGGTATTTGATCGTATTTGGTCTTGGGTCGTATCATTATTATAAACTATTAGGCTAGTAATATTGGATCGTAACTCTTTGTATGAATTCGGATCGAACATTATACTTTCCATCGATAAATACAGTACTTCCTTTTTTTATTTCATTTTGATTTAAAGGAATTAAATGAAGAAACCTACGTACAAATATCGATAATCTTTGCAAAGAAACGTTCGACTTCTCTGTCTCTACGAACAATTTTAAGCTTCTTTACGCTATTTTCACGTCTTATGTACTACATATGAGCATAACTTGGTAAATGGCTGAAATAGTCAATACGTTCGTACATAAAATATTAATTTGTATTTTTTCAATAGATTAATACTAATTTGTGTTGGGTATATCTCTTGAAGAATAGAGGTTTCGTTGAAAAATAGATGTATGTAATGTTTTGCATAACGATGTATAATATTTGGTATTTATTCGAAATATCATCGACCATGCTCATATTTATTTTACATTAAATGCCAATTTGACATATAATTATTATTCATTCAATTTTCAGGTATTTAATGCATGAAAATTTATAAATTTGTGGCTATAGTTAAAAGTTATTTACTTATCGTGAAAATTCCTACTAATATAATTCAACTGTAATAATTAAAGCAACGCATGTTATATAAGTAATCGATGATTTTCATTGTTGACTAAAATAAATATTGTAATAAAATCTTAAAACTATTAGAAAGCAACATTTTCAATCAAATTACGTTAGTCGATATAAAAAATAAAAAAATAAAAAAATAAAAAAATAAAAAGTAATAATAATAATAAGGATTTTGGCACTTAAAAAACGATTCGTTAATCAATTCGTCAGTTCGCGCATTACGATTATTTTTATTATTTTGTACAGCAAAAAATTCCAATTTACTTAAAGCTTTATTGCCTTTATGGGCAGACGTCTGTATTAATTTCTATGAAGCTGATAGAAGTACTTGCATTATCTTAACGATCGATCATATAATAAGACTCATCCATTCCTATATGGATCCTATATATCTATTAAAATTTGCACAATAACGCAAGAGTCTTGACTGAATGCATTATAATTATAGGCTTCATGTAACATCAAGATCTCATAATTTAATATTGGATGATTTGCGTCTAAGAGTGCATCTATATTGTCTGTTTATAAAACGCGTTCGATATAATGCATTTAATGTAGGGTAAATGAAATTTATATATATATATATATATAAATAATGATATTTTGATATATTGCGAATGTAAATGCATTTGGTAACGATTAAATGAATTTGTAGAAATTTTTCAAATTTTTGAGGTGCTAACATTTTTAGCAAATTGTAAACCTCATTGTCGTTCTTAATGTTACTGTTGTTATTGTTATTACTACTACTACTACTACTACTACTACTACTACTACTACTACTACTACTACCACCACTACTACTACCACTACTATTATTATTGTTATTATTATTGTTATTATTATTATTATTACTATTATTATATTATCGTAACTATCATCATCATCATCATCATTATCAACAATTACCGATGAATTGCAAAGAATTAGTTAAGAACGGTCATATGAAAATAAACGTCGAGTAGTAGATCCTTATTATTTTACTTTAAGTAAAGCCAAGATCGTTAAACGCAAATAAATAAAATCACTACGACTTTGAAGACTGGTGATGAATTACCTTGGTGTATAAGAATTTCAGTACGAAATTTTTTTTTAATAAATAAGGCGATTAAAATATTCGTGAAATCATTTCGGTTAGATTAAATAAGTACGTGGAAGAATTAGAATCTATTAAAATCTCGGCAATCCTTCTATCAAAGGCGACTTGAATCGAGAATTATATTTTGTTTCACTTATCAGTCGCATTGCTAGAACGTTGAATAATCCCATCACTTTCGGCTTCTCCGTTTCGGCTAAAACACCTCGTAAAAGATATTCGATTTTTTAATGAATCTTTCGATACATTTTCTTTGTTCATATTAATTTGTAATTGTTCGATTTCCGATTATCAACTATCACTTTATAATTAATTTAACGTTGCTATCGATCATTAAATCCGAGCAGTCTGAAAAAAAAGTCTTTAATTTACATTTATATGTGAGGCAATGTTTTTGTAGAATAATTTTATCCCTATTCAATATTCAAAATAATTCCAAATATCCAAATAATATACGAATATAATTTTTTTTTCTCCCCCACCCCCTTACCCCTCCCCCCCCCTTTTTTTTCGATAGTCCCAAATTTTTTGGTAAAAACTATTTATCGTTGTCAGGAAATAAATAAATAATTAATTAAAAACTACGCACAAAGTCATTTAATTCGTTCCACGGATAGTTTGAAGATAATCTCACAATTTCATCCCAATGTATCATTTATAAAACAGTGCTGAGAATAATTAAGCCACATCTCTAATTTTTAATAAAATTTCAATCTTCATAAAATAGAAAAGCTCTTGTGTATCCGGAATATTTCTTATGGACTTCTCAAGGCTTCCCTTATCTTTCATCAGCAATGGCCATTTGTTGCACAGTTAAACTGCTATTATCGTTTGCAATATTAATATTCTATCGAATTGGACTATAAAAATGATAAATTTTGAGGTTCTTGACCTATCGTAACGGCGACTGATGAAATTCATAAAGTGCATACCGTAGGAATAGCATACCCCCATGATTATTTTAAATTAGCTATATGGTGTAGTCAACAGAAGCATCTTACATTATCATAATACGAACTAAAATGGTTAAAAATAATAATAATGTCTTGATGTGGAGATTCATTATCATATCTTTTGAGTATAATTTTGTCATAATTCCCAGTATATGAGGTGATTGAAAAAAGAAAAAAAAAAGGAAATTATTCACAATTGCTTTAACGTAAAGAGGCCTCAGATCTTGAAACAACCACTTTTATCAATAATTTGAAAAAATAATTTAATTATTGTCAAATGAATCGAGTTTTTATTATATGTGTACTTTTAGACAGACTCAAAACTTATAATATTCGTTACGAAATCCGTAGGGTTGCAGAGCGAGGCGAAGTGAAAACGATTATCTTAATCTCGAAAGTATTATCATTTCGGTAATTTTCCGTTAAATATAATCCGCGCGTACCAATTGTGATAGGAAAGATTTCGTACCGTGACTATAATTTTTTCATCATAATGGTTTTCCATTACGGTGAATATATAACGACAATACACCATTACCACACGTGTAATCAATAATAATCGACATAATTACGATTGTTACTTATAGTCGTTGTTCTACACTTTGAAGCATTATGGATTTATCGGTTAAATACTGCACATCCCATCTGGATGGATACCAAATGCATGGTTGTTAGCCCACGTGTACGTTATTGAACATGTATACATATAAATAAATATACTATATTTTATATTAATAATTCTGAATAATTATTAAGTATCAAATATTATATTATTATATTATATTATTTCATGTTTATATGTCTAGCTCTGTTTGTTCGTTTCTCTCTCTCTCTCTCTCTCTCTCTCTCTCTCTCTCTCTGCGTATGCGTGTGCGTGCGTGCGTGCGTGCGTGTATTTATATGCGTATATATACATACATATATTTATATGCATTTATTTACCGTATGTTATCCAAATGCTAAATATCACGGGACCGCTAAGCATTACTTGTCTTATTTCTTAAAAATAATTAATTATTACCCATTAATTGGTGAATTACTAGCGATATTGTTGGTTTTATTTTATTCTTTTTTTCTTTTCTTTTTTATGTGTGAAAGAATTCCTAATGATCGAGAGTTTCTTGAAAATTCTCAGATAATCTTATGCGGCCGTTTGTAATCAATAAGCATAAAACTTTGTAACTGAGAAATTTCATTCAAAAACTTGTTCCAAGTACATGTTACCGGCATATTTGGAATATTTGAAATAACTTATCGGTTAGCCAAAGATTTTCATTAAAACTCATCTACTACACGAGCTATCTTAAAGAAATGAAAAAATATCGAAAAATTATAACTTAAATCATACGCTACGCACTAGCGACTGTTAAACCACATACTTGACATAATATATTATTGAATATTGAATACTTCTGTCAGCGTAACAATATTTTACAAACAACTAAAATCTATAAATATAGTCGTACTGAGAGCTTTGTTCATGTAAAAGTAATTACTTATTTAAAGCAGTGATAAACGAGAGCGTCACTTTAAATTAAATTGTAGGAGAAAGTAAAACTCGCGACTGTAGTCCGTTAAGATGAGATTGTTTAATTCGCTATTTTATACAAAACTGTTTTACAGAATAATTCCCGAGGAAGAATATAAATTTAATAATAATAATAATCATAATCATAATAATCATAATAATAATAATAACAACAACAACAACAACAATAATAATAATAATAATAATAATAATATTGGTATTGAAAAAAGCAGTAACAATAATAATTGGTTAAATTAGATAATGTAATTCGTAATAAGGGAAATTTAAAAAAACGAATATAGAGAACGCGAGTCTCATTGGCTGGACCACCGGTTACGACGATCGTAGCATATGGCACACGCGCGCACACAAACACACGCGCGCGCGCAGATATAACATTCATCGTTCGAACGCATGTCTACATTATAAATACAAGAATGCACAATGTGTATCTCGCATTTAATGTTTTGAAAGGGACGAGTGCTGAAAATTTTGTTATTTTTTGAATTTACAATCATTCTTAAATATGTATTATATGCGTGAAAAGTTTAAAATAAATAATCGAATCTCTTTTCCATTATTGTCGATAAGCGCACGTATTGCGCATGGCAGCAGAAAAGACTATTTATTACAATATATTTAATAATGCGTTATGCTAGGAAAGTCATGACTATTGTTTTCATATGTAAATCATCTGTATAATATCAATAATGTATCGATGCCACGGCATGTAGAAAATCGATCGACACTAGTTTATAATAATTGATTCGCACCTGATTAAAAAAAAATTGTTCTTTTAGTTACATATTATTATATCATCGTATTTTACCTAACGTACTTTAACGCTTAAAAGAATATTTTTATAATAATAATGAGACTACAAACGCAATTGTTTTATCAATGTGAACCAAAGTTTATAATAATAAAAATATGTCGATACATACTTTTAAAGTTTGTTTTTTTTTTGTTTTTTTTTTTTGTTTTTTTGTTTTTTTGTTTTTTGATCGGGTGCTACGTGTCGCTATACGAAGGAAATGATAAGGCACATTGTCGATAAGCTGGTGTTACACCATTATAAATTGTACTACGATCACGAGCTTATGAATTATTATGTGTATAGTTAAACGAGAAGATAATTTGCAGGCACATTTGTTACCGCATTAGAAAGTCTGTGGCGCATTTTTTAGATCACTTTTTTTTTTTTATAAGAGTACAGCGATTTATAGGAGGGATAAGCCACCTCCCACAATAAGTACATACACTTGATCATATGAGAAATAAGAAGCGAAGTGGGCGAATATTAATTGATATTGCGTAGTGGCGAGAATGCGTTTTTTATGTCATGGGAAGCTTCGAGGATAATTGAAATCATTTTTTTTAGTAGAGATCAAATTCGCACCGTTAAATGAAAATGAAGTATATACGTGATTTGGAGATCTTAAATACGAATGTGCGTTGTGTCGTATACTGCACACGTGTTTTCGTATCTCGTAATGAGCCAATGGTGCCTAATGATTTCAACTTTGACAAATGGTCACTGACTCTTGAGGCTTCTGCGTAAAATACAGCGACTGCCTTGTAAAACGAACGAAAATAAAGAGCAATTATTGTAATTATAATTTTTATTCCACCACCACCACCACCACCACCACCACCACCACCACCACC